AAAACAATTTACAGTTGAAATTTTTCAATGAGACTGTCAGAAGCAAAGCACCTAGCTATAGTGGTGCTTCACATTTTTATAAAGTTAGTGCAACCATTATTTCCCACCTTTCCCAGCTTATCAGAGCTGTGGATTTGCTTGCAACACATACTGCCATCCAGTGACAGTAACATTTTCTCTTCATATCCCTGCCCCTCTCCTGGAGCACATTTTACTTACAGTTTTGGGTGGTCATTATTTCTGTCTTTGGAAATAATGTGCTTGATGTTATTGTGTTTTAAGTTTGTCAGAGGCAATACTCTTTTATATACTTTGTAATCCTCATTCTAGTTGTGAGGTAAAGAAGAAATAAAGGAGTTTTCATTAGATAAGTGTTCCAGCATAAATGCTTAGCCCTGACTGCAGTACACTGTGTATTGAAGTAAGATGATTGCCCTAATCTGTAACACCTCTAAGTGCATTATGAGCCACAGTGCAGACAGATAAGGGAGTGTTGTCTTGGTGATTCATGGACTACAAGTGACATTGTTGGTTTCATGATTTTCCAAAATGGTGAAGAACTCTTGATGAAGCTTTAAATATAAAATAAGATCTTCCCTTGATTATAGGCTTGGGAAAATCAGTATATATTAAATATGCATTAAAACTTATATTAAATGTATATTAAAATGTTTACTAAATGTCTATTAACATGTATATTGAAATTTCAGTTTTAGGCTTCATGTGAAAGTTGTACTTAATGGTTTTTTTATTGTTATTTTCAAAGGAATTATATTTTTAAATGGTTGGTTTAATTTTCTAATACAGTAAATATTGATAGATGTAACCCACATAAATAAATAAAAACTTTTAGGGGTCCTCAATCTTAAAAATATAAAGGGGTCCTGAGACCAAAAAGTTTGAAAACCATAAATCTACAGCAGTGTTTTTTCTTTTGTTTTGTTTTAGAGCATTGCTTTTCAAATAGAGCTGTACATCAGGGTCACCTGTGATTATATAAGAAACTGAACATTGTTTGCTTGGAAGGGGAACTGGTAACTAGACGCATGGCTTGAGGGAGGAAGTTTTTTGTTTGTTTGTTTGTTTGTTTTTACTGTATCTAATGTTAAGCCTTTTCAGTTTGAATTCTCTAAATGTAATATTTACTCAAAATTAATACAGGCCCAATCTCCAGAGAGTCTGGTCCTGTAGTTCTCTGTTGGAGCTTGGCGTCTGAAACATTAAATACACAGTCAGTCATTGTGACCTGTATCTGGAGTGTAGAATTGCTGGTTTAGGTGCTGGACAGAGCGCTTGTGATTTAGCTGGCCCGACCTCTTGTCCTGTTAGAAAAACAGCATTGTTACAGACAAGCCAGTATATAGAGGAGATGCCAGAAGGCAGAAACTTAACATCTTAAGCAATTCAACTTATCCCATCGCTTTCTGAATCCCTAGAAAGCACACAACTGTAGAGTTTTTGTATTCACATCTTTTAGTTCAGTTGTCTTTTACCTGCATGTGTATATAACCCTTTTGGAATACAAATGGCAACTATCATTTAAAAATTTGGGTCCATATCCAAGTTTTCTTTGGAGCCTTCACGTTTGGAATTGAGATCCTTCAGTTCCACTGTGTTTCTTTCCCTGGTTTTGCACAACCTTGTAGTCCCTCTTCTCTGCAGCCAAGGATCCTTTCTAGAAAAGTCTAATTAGATCTGTCCAAGGGACGTAATTTGTTCCCTATCTGTAATCTACAGGATAAAGACCAAATTATCTTGCTTAAAGTTAATAACAATGGGTGCTTTATTGAGTTGTGATTTTAGTGGCTGTGGTAGACATAGCATGCATTTAAATGATATTTTCAGTTTAATAATAAAAATAGCTAACATGTATTGAGTACTATATGGCAGACACTATGCTTACACAGCAAGATAGTATTTAATTCTCAAATGACTCTGGGAGGTTGGAATAATTCTTAACCTCATTTTATAGATGAGGAAACTGAGAATTGGGGAAATTAAGTAGTTTGCTCCCTGTCACCGGCTAGTGAATTGCAGGGCCAAGATGGCCAGGTGTCTGATTCCAGAGCCTTCTATCTTGAATTCATTCATTCCTCCTCTTCTGTCTAGAATCTGATGGCTTATTTCTCTGTGCTGAGTGGAGGCTATTAAGTCATAATCCTGTCTGTGCGATGGCCTCTTACCTCTGCCCTCACTTGGTTGTTTTTAGAGTGTTTATATCAGCAGCACAACGCCTGCTCTCTGATATTTGTCAGACAGTGTATCCTTGAATTCATTGGTGTCCGGT